GATTTCTTCAATCATTAGAGATCTAAGAAAGAATTACTTCAGTCTAAAGTATGTATGCACTTTTGATCTACATCTATAATAAGAAAAATATAGATATTACTAGAATAAGTATCTTATAGCACAAATTAAATGACGTATTTTTTCTTGATTGGGCTTCTTGGCCATTTTGCACAATCTAAAATGCTGTAAAATCAATAAAAATAGAAATAAAAATGGATTGAAATGAAAATACATTTTAACAAGCAACAGTGTGTCACATAATTTGTATCTACTAGATTGAGCATCATTAGGTGTATTTAGGTCAAATTGAGACAAGATTAGTTTTTAAAGGTATGTCTTCCAAGATCAATATTCTTTGTGGTTTCAAAGAAAGTTCTATACATGAGAAGCATTTACCTATTACTACACATTTGTATTGCACATTTTTTAACAAATATTTATATGTAATTATTCAAAACATATAAATATAAATGAATTGAAATAAAAACATATTTTTAGGAATATAGTTGCTCCTATAAAACGTATTTTTAGGAATCAGTTTGTCAAACAAATGGAACAATATTTTTTTTTGAAATTATGTAATTGTTGACCCCAACTTTACTTGGTTTGTATTATCGTTTGATTTTGTGCAAAATAATCTCTTGCTTTGTGATGAGGATCTAGAAAGGAAATATGTGGTACAATATTGCTATTTTGAGATGTGATGCTATAAAAGTCACCAAAAAAAACTACCAATACAAGATGTTGGTTTCAAATTTTCTTTCAAGGGTTTTTAGAGGCCCTCATAAGGGATACTATCCCTTGCTTGCTGACTAGTTAGTGAGACCAATGGAGAGGAGACTACCACCCCCTTCACCCCGTGCAATTGTGTTAGGTCATAGGATCTACATAAAAACAACTAACCAATTACAAGCCTTCACGTTTTTTGGATGTGCATATAGCAATATGAGGTGTTTGTAGCAACTTAGGATGTGCTTGTAGCTTGAGCCTTCAATTTATGCTATATTATATTAAACTATGTGTTCTAAATTTAAAGATTATATATATATATATATATATATATATCTGAAATTTTATTAATTACTTTCTTTATCATTTAATAATTACAAATTTAAGCAAAAGAGCAACACAACCTTCATTCAAATGTTTTGATGTTTTAATTTAATTTGTTATCCAAGTTTGGTTCGCGTGTTGAATCCCTTCTCAGACTTATCAATTCGCACTGATATCGGCAACCCACAGGGCCCCACTGAGCAGTTTGCTCAGCCTTCTTCCCGTCGGTGTTGGTCCAGTAGACTTGGTATATCATTCATCAGAATCGTGCGATTTCCACGCGTTCACGCTGCACGTTGGTTAGGTGGGTCATGACTAACTGATCTTCTGGATCTAAACTTGCTGTTAGAGTCATTTCTGTGCCGTCGACCACGGAGGAAAAGCTATCCAAGGTGTGAGTTTTGGGTCCAGCTTCTGATGGCGTGGAAATGCTCTTTCAATGAAGTTCCAAGGCTACCTTCCAGATCACATGCATAACCTTTCGATGAAAATATCCACCCTGTGTTATCTGTCGTAGAGTTGTTAATCCTCGTGTTCGTGCCAGAATTTTATATTCTCGAAGAAGACTTCAAAGTGTTAGCATGCTGTTGAGACTTTACATCACGTTACATATCACGTTGCTTATTCCTCGACCTGCTTGTGCTGTTGTGCTAGCGAAGGTGTTTTGTTTTGTTTTTGTATTTTTTTAAAAATTATCAATAGGCTTAAGTCGGTTTCAAGAGCATTCGAATGGTACATGTAGGCTTTTTGCAGGCAATTGGTAATCTGAACTTGGATGCCACATCCAACGTTTCCCAGCATGTAATGAGTACCGAACAAGTGCACGTGGTAAAGCTCTACACTCGAATATGAAGAGAACTGCACTGAATTATTTCAACGAATGTCTGCCCTGAAGCTAGCGCATTCTTAAAAGCTTAAAGCCTTCAGTACAAAGGAGCATAGCTGCCGCTTTCTTCCTACGATTTTGTTTTTTTGCTTTAGTGCTTTTGCTTTTGTTTTGTTTGTTTCTTGTTTTGTGCTGTTTTGTATTGTATTGTATTGTTTTATTTTTATTTATTTATTTATTTTTCAAACAGATTCAGCGGTACGCACAAGAGCAGTTAGATGAGCGTCGGTATCGTCGAAAAACTGGTCTGGCTGTATTAGCATGTGTTTCGACCCTCTGAGTGGCACCTTTCCGGCAATGAAGATTGGTTACGCGGCAGTTGCAATTTCTTTTCAGTACCACATTAATTCAGTTCGTTGTGTCCGTAGCAAAGTAGTTCAAACTGGGTGATGATGGCCTTCAACTGAACCAACTAATTTGTGCACCATATTTTCCTAAACCTTTTCGTAGAAAGTAATGTTTGCGCAGAAGCGAGTTAAAGTCAATTCACCGGATGATATCTTTGTTTTTGTTAATTAGATCAGATTCTCCGTCTTCTTCTATTTTTCTCAGAACAGTGTCTGTTACATTAGGCCAAGCACTCTCCCTCCAGACACTCTTGCGTTGAGGCTAGGCTATGAACACTGAATCTGCAAGACGCACCGAAATCAATAACTAAAAAATGAAAGGGATTTTTAAAGCAATAGGTGTAAATAGTATACTAAACAAAATATTTCTAATTGAAATAGTTTCTAGTCATCTTTGCTATTTAATTTTACACAATGCTATTTAAATTTTTTTATACAACTTTTAAATAAGCATACTCTTAATCCATAGTTCTACTAAAAAAGTACTTATAAAATTGCCATATAAAACTGATTTTTCTTTTTTTTTTTTTTTTTTTTTTAAAGCTTGGATCCTCTATATTGATTCTAAAAAGCAATTTGGAATGCAATTATATTTGAAAAAATATAATATATTAAAACTTTGGCTTGGATAACTCTCAAAGATTGCCAAAAGAATTTTCAAAAGAATAGTAGCCAAATTAGTATTAATTTTAAGTAAAAGTTTTAAAAAATATTTTTGTACAATTAAAATACCACTTGGCATCAAAATTAGGTACAATTTAGGAATTAGAGTGATAATTTCTTTTGTTAAAAAAATGAAAAGATATTATTATCATAATTTATAATTATTTACTAATTTAGCAGCAATATAAGAAACCTCAATTAATATGATTCAAACTATAAATTGGACATCAATCTGCTAGAGGTACTTTGCAAATAATATCATACATACTAATTATAGATATTGGTGTAATGGCAATAATCTAATTGATTAAGAATCAAAATTGAACTTAATTAAAATATAGTACTTATAAGTTGATAAGAATTTGTAATATAAAGTAAAAATAAGTTCAAATCACCTTAAAAAATATAATAAAAAATCAATATTATATTAACAAAAGAACAATAAAATAATAACCTTAATAAATATTAGAAGTAAATCAATGTACCAAAAGATTTTTTTTTTTTTTCTAAAGATTACTATCTTTAAGAACTTAAAAAAAATACTTTTAGTAAATTCTAATTCAAAAGAACTAATTCAAAAGACAATACATTCATGTATTAATAAAGAAAGAAGAACATAAGGTATAAAGGGATAGATATAAGATAGAAAAAAATGAATAGATATTGCCAAATGAAATGAAGCTAGAAAGTCATAAATCAAGATTAAAATATAAAAAAGATGTTCACAAGATTGAGGATTGCTTCACTCTTGTTTCTTTATATATTAGCTACAAAAAAGACCTTATAGAAGCTTCTTAGGAAATATAAATCTTGTGGCCCAAGTATCAAGTTGTAGGTTGCATATAAAAGTAGAAAACTTATGGCACAAGTTTCAATAACTATGATGAAAGATGGCAGTAAAGATGGCAGACATGGCTGAAGGTAGTAGATGGCGGCCAGACTTTTCCTCTTCTATTCTCAAATCCACTCTGAGCTCAGCATAGTGATCAAATGGTCCGAACTGAGGATCCACTATCGGGATTTATCTTTTCTTGACACTTAGTATGTTGACAAGATGTGAGTGGCAATTAACCATGTTCGCATAAAACATCTTTCAGTCTTTATGTGCTTCGAGTACATATCGGTCTTAGTTTATGAACAGGGCGCTGGTTATTGTCCTAGTATTACCTTTCAATCTCACTTTCTGACATCGGATTCGAAGTGCTCAAGAGTTTTGCTCCCAAGGGCTCATCTGGTAGACAATACTGGATGAAATGACAATTATATGCTTGCAGATACGCAATCAGGAAACCGTGCTTTCCAGAGTCTCTGAAAATCCTGCTAGGAGATCGGCGCAACTCATTCTTAAATATGCTCATGTAATGACTAGTTTAGCCGGCATTTATCCAATTGGAGGTAGTCACTAGAAAGACATTTGAAGATTTGGTACAGGGGTGCCGATAACCTTATATTCAAGACACTAAGAGAAACTGAAGGCGAGATGCCGAGAGCAGAGCAGGAGCCCATCAGCGAGTAAACACAGGTACATTGCCCCCCCAATCTTAGAGCATCTAATTCGATTTAATCCTCGTAAAACAGTTAAGATGTTCATTGAATAACATCACAAGCTTATGGCACGTAATACTGCACGATATGTCTCTGGAGTTGAACGTACAAATCATAGCCCTGGAACGTCCTAGGGACTGTAACCTCACTGCTGCTATTAAAAATGAGACGACGAGTACTCTAGGCACGAATGCAACGGCATGATGAATCGATATCGCTAGCTGAGAATCTCTTTGCTTAACACTTATTATATTGAAAATCATTGAAGATGTCAAAATAGTGCTTACGGTGCGTACCTTGATCGACCGAGTTTTCCATTACTCTTCAGCCATATGTTGTAACTTGATTCCAAAGTTTCTTATTTCTTGTTTGAAGCTTCGCAGGGAAATTTGCATGACCTGAATGCTGTTTCGTAGAGAGTTCGCACAAGGTTCCCCAGTGTGATCACGCAGACACAAAAGTACAACTTGGATGTTAAAACGGCAATGATAACCACATGAAAAGCATTTGCGACTATTGAACGGATTCATGTTGCCATTGATTAAGAAAAGATGTCAGCTTGACATCTTACTCCCGCACCTTCATAACACAGAAGAGGTACTAAATATAAATTTCTTACAACTAATACCAAGAGCTATTCCTTCCACCAGAACTTGGGTCCTCCAGGGTCCATGGGCCAGTCTTCGAGAAAACTCTTCGCTGAGCAGGCAGCGATGACAAGCCGACCAAAAGCACCATCCAGTCCACATGCGGCAGGTGCAGATATTCCGTGTCTGGCCATATGGTAATGAATAATACACTAACCATCGAACATTAAAGATGATAGTACACAAATCAGGTACTGATCTAGCTGGTGATCTAATACCTAATATCAAAAAAACTTTGATCTAGTAGAGGCACCCAGTAAAGATGTCTGTTTCCAGAGGTGAAAACACATGATCACTTGATAAGAAGATGCAAATGATTATCGTCTTCAGGTGGTCTAATACTCTGAACCCCCGCCAGCCTTCAATCTCTCCATCCGGGCTTGCAGTCCAGAAAGGGCCCTGTCTTCAACTATTTCCCCACTCGAACTAGTCCGAGAGAGTGAAACAGAGCCATTCGAAGAAAAATTTGTCGAGTGAGTTACTGTTGTTCCAGCTGCGCCAGCTTGGATGCTCTTCATCCTCTCCCTTATCGCATCTAAAGTGCCTCCTATGGCTTGATTGTGGGGTTTCAAATCACCAGGGCCTGCCAAAAAGAACTAAATCTTTATCAAGCTAATTTTTAACAACTCCATCTGGTTCAAGTAGACGGAAACTATAACCAAACTAGAAAAAACTGTCAGCAAATAATGGTTTCTCCGATGCTGCAACTTTCGCGGAGATGCCGCCTATTTCTGAAGATCCGAAACAATCGTAAATGGTAGAAGAGGGATGGCAGCTTTCTCACCTTGAGCAGTAGGCATAACATTATGGCCAGCAGATGATTTTAAAGGCAGCGCTTCAGTGTATTCAGTTGATTTAGCATCGGTATATCCTGTATTACTATTATCCTCATATGGGTGCAATGCATGGGAGCTACCACTTTCCACTCCAACTCCCTGGCCCCTGCCACGAAGTAGGAACGAAGCCGATGATTTGTTGTGTTGAACTGTTGGAGAAGACACAGGGGGAGGTGTGGCGATAGGCATACTACCAAAAGCCCTACCAGCAGCTGCATTTCTTTCCATCTGTCACACGATAAGGAAACGCAATAAGATTGTGAAAATGATGCAACATGGGGTTGGGGAGCCCATATACATGTTGCCACTCATTTCAGAGTTCACTTATTGAGACGACCTACACAGCATCAAGGAAACCATGGTTCAACCAACCTGGGCAATGCCATCGCTTATGTAGGTCCGAAAAGCTTCACTCGCATTTTGCAGTTGGGAAAAAATATCAACCTGGTAAGGTAGAATGAGCATGCATGTTGTGAGCAAAATATTAAAGAAAGAAGGAACGGGGAAGAAATTGTGCGTGAATAGGCAAACAGTAACTACGATGGAGAAAACGTTGCACAAGCTTCGCACCTGAGGATAAAGCTGTGTGATACGATAAAGCTCGTAAAGACCAATTGTGCAAGTCTGCTTATCACCGATCTTCTTGAACACTGCAGCAAGCTCTTGCTACAACAACGAGATCAACAAAAACTCAGCCAAAGATTGTAATCACATATATGCAAATGAAGCTGAAGAAGACTTCTAATTACCAGATTGATTAAGCGTACACACAGAAAAAAAGTTGTAAAGAAGAAAAGTGCATAACTTACTTTCAGTTGTGCCTCAGCAGAATGATTCGATGGTGAAGAGTCTCCATTGTTTGCAGCTGACCACTGTGTTTGGCCAACGGTTCCCAAGGTCTACAAGATTCCATGCAGAGAGGAACCAAAAACTCATCAACTGAATTTGAAAGTGGAGCAAACGACCAAAAAATTGCTGGAAAAGACATACAGCATTTAAAAGATGCTGTTACACGTTCATTTACTTTGGCATTAAACAAATTGAAGCTTCTCTTTTGAGAATTCCTACCTTGTTTCTACACTCATAGAAGTTACAGGAATCCAAGTAAATGATCCTGCTGTACAACGGACGCCCTGGTTCTACTAACATAACCAATCTTCTAAGTTCCTAAAGAGTGCCTAAAAAAAACAGATTTTCTGAGCACCAATCGCAAACTATCTGGCTACATCAATACCCTCGCTTAAGTTACAGAAACGTTTAGCCCGCAGTCCAGATTGGTTCCATGGTAAACCATTTGAATAAGACAGTGATGTATCTCTAAGCCATCTACCCCTAATCTCTCAGAGATTTTGAATTTCTTTTCAAAGCACCTGAAGGTTGAGATCGATGTAGGCAAGAATGATCGGTTGAGGCTCCAGATCAATCGGCACCAATGAAAGGTGTCCTTTGATTGCGGCGCCACGGAGCTTTACAAGCTCGTGCAACAATGTCTTCACCATGCGCAATGGCTTGTCGTCCGCTCCAGCTCTGATCCAGAGACATTCCCATGCATTACATATCAAGTTAATAACCAAACGGCCGTGAACGGAATAGCAGTCAACTAAAATCTCAGAGCCAGCGACGCAAGAACTTTTTTAACAATCTAGTAAAAACGGATATTATATTGCAAACGTTGTGGTGAACGAGCTCGGAAATCATCTTACCGTTTCCGTATTTCTGCCATTCCCAGCTCTTCAAAATACTCGTGAATGCTTTGAAGAATTCGATCAAGGTCTACTTCAAGCAAAGTTGAACCAAGAACCTGCCATAAAAACAGCTTCACACGTTAACAACCCACACGTAGTACAAAAGTCAGAAAAAGAAACACAAATCAATTTCAAGAGAATATGAGAAAATCAGTTCCAAACCTTGGTTAGCTTGATAAGACACTTCACAACCAGATCCAGAAATTTCTGATTTCTAACAACTGCTGTTCCTTGTTGACGACCAGCAAACTTTGATGAACCAATAGGACGCAATAGGTAGATCAAGACTATGAATGCTGATGTGCGATCCGCATTTTCCTGAAAACATCCATATTTGCATGCTTACATAAGTTGAAACCTCGATCACAACGGATTCACCAGCTTCTCTCAAGGAAACTTGAGCTTCAAGACAGCACCTCGGAGAAACATCATTAAGACAGCGATTTACAAGATGAAAAAGATTATTTTGACTTACCAGTATTTTCAGCATCAGAACATTCATGGCCTTAAGCAGCTGACTACCATCGTCCATTAGTAGAACTCGCTCGTCCAAAAGCCAAACTAAAAGCTCAGTGATGAGGTTGTGCAGGGTGCCCTCCTTGACAGCTCGTGCAAGTTTCTTCACTTGGAATGTCTACAAAAGACGAAGCCATAATCATGCAGGTTCAGGCTTTATCTCCTCTGGTGACATAAAATTTTATCTCATTAAAGGGACTTCAACAACTGAACTGCATTTAACTTTGTGTCATATATACCTGCATAAGAGTATTCAGGACATATTTACAAGATCTTGAAGAAGCTCCAGCAAGACCTAGATTGAAAGTGGTTGTGACCTGGCATTCAACGATACTTGGTGAGTTTCGTTCCATAAGCATTCAAAAAAGTCAATTTTGAAGTAAAGAACTCCTTAACTCGCCACTGAAGCATACAGTGAATTATACATCAACAATTATACAATAGTGAAGCTGAATTTAGGACATAAAGAAACGTCAGCAACTACTCAACCTAAAACCAACCGAAACAACAGTTATGACATACTTTGACAAAGAGGGTGGTAACAAGAAGATCCGCATCATTTGCAAGTTCATCAAGAGCCCCACTATCTGGATCTCCCGCAGCTTTTGCCAGCTCGTGACATACAAGTTTTAGGCCATCAACCACCTGATTGCATTGCACAATACGTTAATACAGAGGAAAAAGACATCTTTTCAGATGAATAAAAGACCCTAGAAAATAAAAGAATGTAATACCTGGGTGAATTCCTTCACAATATTGAACTTTCTAAATTTACTGGTTCGACAGCAACATTGCTCAAAACAAGTACAGTAATAAGAATACGAAATTCATACTCAGATATTACAAGTTCCTTTACTGCTGGGTTAGGGGGTTATCCTATAACGCAAAAGAGAACGAAAACATCAAGAAGCACGAACGAAAGAATTCGACTTCAGAAAACCGCTTGGAACCTGCTCTGATGATGTTGCATTGTTGATGATGTCAAGCGCCTCATTCCAGTCCAATGGACTTGATTGTCGTAAATTTCCGTGGGGCCCCTCAATTCCACCTTCAGAGTGTCCATTACTTGATCCCGAACTGAAAGATGAATAAGCAGAACGCATTTATTTCAATGCGGCTAATAGAAGATATTCCAGTTACTATTTCGGATTGAAATTCCAGGTAAAATATCAAAGTAAGAACTTGATAATACTTTCAACTCTTGTGCATTTAAGAAATGCATTGTGAAGAGTAGCAAAAACAGAAAAGAAAATGCAGTCATGGATTCTTTTACGAAGCAGTGCGTCAGAAGAGGAAAATCGAGCTTTAGCCAAAAACATATGGAACAAAAATCTCAAGCGTTGAATCACAATCAGAGAAATGTCATTACCGATTTAATCATGAAAACACCAATACAATCGTAACAATTAATTTAAGTAATAAGTACTATCGCTTGGAAGTAAATCTTAAAATTTACCAATTGCAGATGACTGCAATACGCTTACTGAGGAAAAATCAAGATTGGGCATCGTCTACCACAAATAATTCATCTGAATATGCTAAGTAGTGATGCCAAAACACGTCGGATAGATCCCTTAAGCCTTCGCATTGGGAGACAAGCAGATACAATTCCACTGTTTCGTAACTAACCTGGTATCCACAGCAGAGCGCTTTAAGGAAGCTCTCCCCACATCAGCCCTTGCTTCAAGAGCTCTTGCTTCTTCCGCTCTAGCTCCGCCAGGTTTACCTTCTCTTCGTTTCTCCATTTCCCGAGCCTGCGCTCAAAAAGCAGGGGATCATATTCCAAATCAGCAAATGGTAATGGATTTAAGAGAGAGAGTAAGAGATTTAATATGAATAGTAAAATTTACTCAATAATTGGACCCACCGTCCACTTAAATTTTTCGTCCATCACCCCTTTCTGTGCTCCTGAAATCTTGCCCACATATTTCCAGATATCGTCACCTGCAAAGTAGAACAAATGAGGTGCTGCATATGCACAAGAGCCGAAAAGGCTAGGCACAAAGTGAAAGAAAATGTAAAACAGAAACTACATGAGACGAGTGTTTCCTTGATTTGTTTAAGCGTATTTGATCAAGTGAATCATGAACCTAGGCACATTAAAATGGTTAATTCATTCAAAAAGATGAAGTCCTACTACACGCCCACAACAAAGAAAACATAAAGATTATTACATAGTAAAAACGCACCCAGAATTTTATATGCAGTTGCAAGCGCTGCTAGTGATGCTTTCCGAATATCACCATCTCTTTCGACAGTAAAAGCCGCTATGGACTGCAAAGCTTTTGTGGGGCCTACAATCTGGATAACATGACATAATCCCATTTAGATTCCGACTAAGCATACTCAACATGTGATGCATACAAGTGCCAAGAATTAAACCCGAATTCCAATCTGTGGCGCAAGAGGTCTCAAAACAGTTTAAAAATAAAGCATACGAATACCTCCTTCAGTTAAAATTAAGAAAGTCAAAATCCCGTTAAAAGCTTGCAAAGAAAGGTCGACATATACCTCAATACCACACTGCTCTATCATGAATTCAATATTCTCTACACACTCAATCCTCGTCCGGTTGTTCTTCGATTTCAGGCCATCTGTTATAAAGCCAAACACTTTTGGAGCCGAGTAGATAGAGCATAGTAGCCTTATCAGCTCCCGAACTTTCTCACGGACCTTCTCAATGTTATGGCCAGACTGGTTCAAACAAGAAATGTGTCAACTTCCACGCACAATTCCAAAGCTATCTAGTTCCTTTAATGATAATCTGATTCAAGAAACCTGGTAAACCGTCCATGATCAAGAAAGTTAGGGAGTTGCATGATTGAGATATGACATACCTTTTCCACCAAACATGGGAACAAGATGCTTGCTTCAAACTCGCTAAATATATATGCCTCACCCTTCAACCCCTCCACAAGACCGAAAAGGAAGTCGAAGACCTGGATCACCACAATCATGCGTCAGACAATCTTAAAGTACGCGATATTTGTATGACGAGTTCAGTCGAAGAGCTATAGTAAGAGGAAGCAATCATCCGAATGTAAAGAGAATTGTTCGAGATGGGCGTGTTCAAGTTCAGGGAAAAGCTAGATCACCTTTAGAAGACATGTAGTATTTGACTCTGCAAATCGAATTGACATCCATCGGAAAATGACATCCAATATCTCGATTATCTCTTTGGTCTGAGTTGGTATAGCCTGTACACGAAACAGACACACTTCAGTTGTCTTTGACTAGGATTGATGTCGACAAGAAACTCATGAGCACCTTGTCAGGCAAATGGAAAGCATCTCAAAGATTCTAATGAGTCGCCAACGACCAAACCCAGCAATAGACATTATACCAACAGGGTCAGGTGCAGAAATTAGATGTGCTTGCTCAAAATCTTACAGCACAAGCGAGTCTCATACGTCTACACAGATAGATAAACGAGAGCATACCCGTTGTAGTATGTCGAGACCTTCAATTTGCTTTTTAAAATCCGGACTTAAAAGCTTCTTCTGAAGATCTTCTCGAAAGAACTTAACAATATCAACCTGTCCATTCGAAAATTTCAAAACAAAAAAACAGAATGATTGTAGATGTTATTCACACATTATACGCAAAAGCAGAAAGCAACCGAAGCCCAACAATAATAAGTGTGAGAGGCTATTGCATTTTACTTGAGGTAAAAGTGTCAGGGAACATTGTTTTTACACATTAATATGAGTGTCACATCAGATTCAAGACCGGGAACAGAAAACTACACTAAGCTTTCAGGAAGAGTTTTGAATATAAAAAAGTAATCCTCTACACCCACCTCTATGTCGTGTGGTTGCTCTCTTCTTGCAGCGTCATCGAACTTGTACTTGCGGGCATTTAACCTCTCTCGTTCGCTCTACCGAAAAGACCAGAAAATGTCAGTACAAATGATATATTATGATTGCAGAGTACTGCCCAATTATGCGTAAGTCATGCAAGGATAACATGAATCACATGTCCTAGGTTAAAATGTCGGTTTCTTCACACCAGTTTGTTGAACATCGTCAATAACATGAGTATTGATGTGAAAAATTAATAGCAGAAACGAATTTGTACCTTATGTGAATCTTTTAAATTGAACAGAGCTTGTCCTTGCATTTGTGATTCATATGCTTCAGCGGCCAATGCAGCTGATGTCTTTGTAGGTTTTGAACCCGATTGTCTCTGTCCAAGAAGAAACTCGGTAAGAAACTTACAACTAAAAAAGGTCAAACCTTTGAAAATTCGATTAAACCCATTGTGGATTTTCAACAAAATGTGCACACGGAATGCACAAACTGAAAGCACAAGTCAAAAAGCCAAATACGTCGAAAGAAGGAGACAACTAGGGTGGGTAGATGTGTGAAGACGTAGAGAAAAAAAAAAGGAAAGATACGGGGCTTACCGCACCAGCTCCCCGGCCAACAGTACTAGGATTTCTACTCGAAGCTCGAACCTCCGAAGTGGAGGCTTTACTTCCAGCTTTGGGAGTTGTGCTCATCGTAAAAGAATCTTCTGAGGCACCTGTCCAAAAAGTAAAGTTTAACTTAACAGAGAGTGCATACAACCGAGTATCTATTATGCATGTAGAGGGGTCTGCAAGAGTAAAAACAAAGTGTTTGTGCTATGCCCATGATGATCTGAACACACTTCAATATGGGCGGAAAACAACATTATAAGATTACACACAGAATTAACATAACAGGTCAACAGGCAGGCCAGTCACAAACTCACTAGAGGATCTTTGATGATCGAATACAGTCTGCAGTGCAGCTAGCCCTGATCCTTGAATGCCTTTAGACGCTTTCATCACCTGCACCATAGTTAAATGTTACTTGTCTTAAACGTAAAGACAATCACAAGCTCTACATGTGGTGGATTGTAAATAGTAACTTTTCAATGGTCATGAAGCCATTGACAAACCATTAGAACACATATTAAGGAAAGATAAGTTTGAAATGTAGAATAATTAGAACTAAAGCAGGAGTAGTACTGGTTCAACGTCAAAGACTCGAATAAGCTCCACCAAGCACGCTTCGGCCGATTTCCGCATGTCTACAAATTTGTCCTGCGGTACCGAAAGACGCCAACAGGAAGGTGCATAAGAATTGTACGCTAATAGTTAATAGCATTAAACCACTCAATGAAAGCACTCAATAACACATACCTGTAAACCAATAGAAATAGGTTTAACAAGCTGCAACAAAACCGGCTGATCGCCTTGTTTTGCCACATTCCTAGCCACCCACTCAAATAGATCCTTCCGTCCTTCAGCACAGATTTTAGCCTCAGCCAATGCGGGTACAATATATGGAAGCTGTGAACACATTCCCTGGCTTAGTCAGACAGTAGAACTCAGCATTTCATAAGCTGTAATGGGTAACACATTATTGTGACACAATGATAGCATAAATTCTGAATTATTGAAGGAGGTGCATACCATTTTATCAAGCTGCAATAACAGCACCCATGAGTCCAGCATCTTGATGACTGCTTCACGAACGACCTTCTTATTGTCACCAAGACATTTGAGAGCATCGGCCAAAATCCCCTGCACAGGATATTCCAAGGATATCAAGATAGACTTCAAAAGAATCAAGAATTAAAGATTCTATACGGAACTGTCGTACACCAACATTTGATTTTCGCATTGTTGTTAAAAATGACTATTCTAAACTCTACGTAACTACTGAAATGCCACAAAGTACATCAATATTCAATTCGAAACAGTTCAGAAGCAGGGGCCACGAATGGTTTCTTAGTCATAAACTCACTTTGCTATGCTTATCAACGACCGGACCCATAGCTGTTGCTATAGCACCGAGGGTGGCCAATGTCATCATAACTAGGTTCTTGTTAGAATCGTTGAGTCTCGCCTTCAGGCTCATAAAAAGTTCACCTGAATTTGATAAGTATGCCACTCAGCAAATCGGTCAACTCATGCAAATAATCACATTGGTAGTGCACAGGAGGCAAATCGCGCGACATGAAGATCCATGGAAGGACAAATAAGAATATCAACAAACCTGCCTACGTCAAGAGAATCCACTGCAAGGAAAGGGACAAAGAAATCATGTGATCCTGTGGGCAATTACATAAATCAGGCGAAGACTTGCAGCAGACACAAATTAACATGTAAAACCTGCTTACCGATGTCGGTAAATACTATCATAAATGGAAAGTACCTGTTCCAGTAGGCTGAATCCTTTTATGAGCCTCCTCAATGATCCCATTCAAACTCTCAAGAGCTTCTTGTCGCAGCTGCATGTAGTGCCAATCAACAATAATTACATATAATCAAGGAGGCATCGAATCATAAATCAAAAACAATATTAAACAATCGATGGTAATCAACACGAGAACGCGGGCAAAGAGAAATGTCATGCTAGAAGGATTCACCCGCAAGAACAAAGCTTGGAAATAAATGAATTTCACTTCACCGCTTTCTATACGTAATAAGGTTCATGCAGGTCGACAAGGTCAAACCACGTACCTTCCAGTCGGGACTGCTCATATTCTTCAACAGTGCTGGAGTTAATCTCCCACTAATGTCTTCACGAGGCAAGCCGTCAGTGCCACCTGACGGAGCTCCGACGTCAACTGCTCTTATAGTTCTTTTAGGTGCAGAAACTGGTCCCTGAACATCCCCCACATAAAGTAAGTGCCTACGTCAACGATTCTGCCTCAAAGAATGGATAAGCTCATATACAATATTGAATAACCTCTACATGATATGGGAAAAAGTACCTCATAGGGGTTTTTCTCAATCTCTGCGTCAATCATGGTTTGAAGTTGCGACTTCACATCACTTAAGAAACCTTTAAGATCTGTCCGCAAAAACAAAGATGTCAACCGTAAATATAATAAATTTAACACAAGTACAACCAAGAAAATTCAAACTGTCAACTAGTAACTAAACAGTCAAAGGTAAGAACCTGGGCCAACAAATTTGTGAAGAACACCAAATAGCTTGATAGTAGCAGTTCTGACAGCAGCAGCACTGGAACCGAGACCCGTTTCTTTACAGAAGTTAATGAGGTCCTGCAATCAATCAGCATAAAACGGTTAGAAAAAAGTTTTACAGAGTGCACATCAAGTATGAAATGTACAGAATTTAAGACGTACTGATTTCTAGGAGGCATTTAACGGGTTACACTTAAACACCACAACAGCCAGTGGGTCACACCTTTAGCGGCACATGTCCAATTCCAAAGTCGTCCAAGGCTGTAACCATCCAACTTAAACCTTCACTTAGAACTTTAGGGTTCTTGTGATCCTTCATAATCTTGAAAAGCTGCGACACAAAATCGTTGAAATAGTCAGGGAGTGAGATGAAAACTTAGATCAAACAGAAATACCAGAGCTACATATAGAGGCAGAAACATAAAAAATTGTTGATACGTACCCTCTCAAAGACGAACTTTGGTCCCACTGCCTCGCAAAACGTAGTAAGACATTTAGTAGCCTGTATCCTAGTTTTAATGTCACCAACTTTCTCCACAACGCCTGTATAGAAAACAAACAGCTGTAAAAAATAGGTAATAACTTAAAGTCGATTAAAAAATAAAAAGATTAAACTATAAGGCGACAGCCGCATGAAGTTCATGGAGAACGTATTAAAAAAAAAACAAACCAAAAGATTGGTAAGAATACAAAAGGAACCTACCTGTGAGGCATAGAACCACACATTTCTTCGAAAAGCGTGTTGCGTTTGTGGCAATCAATATAACAGCTTCTATAGCCTTCTGTTGTACCTATACACTCACAATTCCATTATATGCATGAGTAATTTACGAACTAATACAAAAGCATATTATACTGGGTGGACATGAAAAACAGAGTGTAGATACAATGCTGACATAATATGCAGAAGCCCAGCATATTTACCTGAATGTTTTTTTCATTCCAGCCAGGTAATATGCACAATAGGCGAATGAGCAGTTCAGCGTATTGATCGAGCGCCTTCAACCCTTCGACAGTATCTCGCAAAGCAGTTATAGCTGAAAACACAATATGCATGAGACTCACGAAATTGATGCACTAAGCCCCGCAAATTTTGCTCGTAAGCGACACAACAGATGGATGAGACCAAATTTGGAATCATCAGAATCAGAGGTGTTTAAAATAAAATTAAAACTATTAAGACATAAACAAATATTTTAAACAAAAATTTAGAAACCACTACGAGCATAAACTACTGTTCCGATATGAACCACTAGAAAAGGATATCCATGAAAGATACAAACTGATATACTATAAACATTTTAACCACATAATATGCTAAGCTGGTTCACAAAAATGAGTACGAACTGGAATACAGATTGCAGGATAATAAGACGAGTAGCAGAGCTCAAAACGACGCCCACTTCTCACCTTCAAGTCGTTCTTTCCAATTTGCGCTCTTCAAATTTGTTATCACTTCCGATTCAAAAAGGGGACTAAGTCTAGTCTCTATGTCTTCCAAACTCATCTCTCCGGGCTGCATAACCAATTCAACGTATGAATTCCAGTGCACATCAGCAGTGAGTACTGAGGCTTTACTCACGAAAATAGACCGCGCTGTGACTCTGACCTAGAAGTATGTATGCTTAATTTAGACTGTGTATCAGCAATTACTCAGTGCATGAGCTGGGCAAGTTTCAGGAGGTTGGAGGCCTATCTGTAGGAGTCAGAATCCGAAGTCTACCTCAACGTCCTCGACAGCTTCAGTCAGAGGCTTTGAGGAAGCTGAACTTCCATCAGATTTTTTTGAAGCACCTGGCTTGGAAGCTCCACCAGGCTTGGAGGTTCCTCCAACACTAGCCTTCTTAGGAATCTGGACCATCAACACAAGACTATAATCAATAGTAATAAAATGTTAAGAAAGAAAATGCAGCGAAGAAGTCTATTCAGTGTTAATACTAGTAATTAACAGTAATACTAATAACAATCTAATTTGGAATTTACAGCATTGCTCATCGTCTTTAACAGAACCAAGAGAGAATACATTTACTTACAGCAGAGGGAGGTTTTTTCCCGGATAGGAGACTGGCAGCAGAGGCAGGCTTCCCAGCTCCCTGAAAACAAACTTCCATTTCAATCCACAAGTATAAACCAAACTCAAACGCATTACAACCAGTATAAGAGATAACTGTGATAAATAAAACCACACAAACCAAAATAACCACATACAGATAACAGGAAACATGCAGTGGAACAAGAGGATATGAGCAAGACATGAAATAAGTACAGTTCTTACATTTCCAAGAGCCGAACCATTAGAATCCGCCTGTGCTCTAGAGAAGGCTGCAACACAAATATCCACAAACTATACTCAGGAAGACTGGAAAACACACCCCATCGTAGAAAACCCGATACTCTCCACCTCAAGTACCGATAGCGAATATGACCTCAATGACCAAAATACGTCCACTGCAAAGATAACTATTTTGTACATGACTGGAGCGCGGTACATATAAAACAGCAATTGAGGTGATCTGGAAGTACAATCTCGGAACATCCAATTCAACTACAATACCAACCTGGAACTGCTGTAGCAGGAGTACTGCTTTCAACACCACAAAGTTCAACGAGTTTCTTCTTCCTGACTTCGTCAAGCTTCTCCAATGGTCTTTCCAACACCTTCATGCCTACAACCTGCAGAAACTCAAATAATACTTTGTCATGAGTGTACGCACCGACAAAATTTTATAATATTCTTTCAATAATTGATTGAGATGCCGCTTCACTACGCACATGATGCTTACGAGACATGAAACCCACTAGAAATCATAATACATATGGGTAGATATGATTTGGACATCATAGAAGGGGGAAATATTAAGAAATTATAACGCAAATGTTACGCATTACCTTCGCAAAAGCAGCCAGGGCCAAAAAAGCGGCATCTCGTACCTCCGGAGAACTATCATTCAAGCACTGTTTTCCACGAAGTGCGAGGAATTAGTGAAAACGGACACGAGGACCCAAAATATATACACACACACGCACAATTACAAATATGAGCCAACTGAAAATAAATTGATATATGAAAGTACAACCAAATCACATTCAATGCAGGAGACATAGAAATAAATACCTCCATTAAGATGGGTATGTATTCCTTATGCAACTTGAGAACTGTCGGCTTATTACTGGTCTCAATACATGTAGCTACCCATGTTAAACAAGAGGATCGTACTAAAGGAACTTTATTTTTGGTAGCAAGTTTAACATCTGAATAAAACATTCGCAAGAAGTAACTTTGTCAGTACGCTTAGGGTAATGAAATTTTCTGCCAAAGAAAATGTGCATGCCAAAAATGCCAAGCCATATAAGAAGAGTAATTGAAAAGGTGGAAAAAGCAGCATTCGAGATGGTGCAGCTGGAGAGAACGTTAAACTACCGACCTTCGATAACGTCTTGTAATTGAATGCAACCACCCTTGTGCATAGCATTGAGTGTTGTCGTTAGAGCATCAACCATGACTTGTTTTTTCTCTTTCAATTTATCCTGAAAGACCACCAAGTTGCACAAGGTTAACATCAACAGTCCGACTCAAAAACAAATGGAGGATAAAAATACGAAGGCGAACAACCAGAAGAAAACTTGAAGGCAAGCTGAGTATACCAGAAGGACAGGCAATAGTAACTTCGAGCCCGAGTTAAAATCCTTTCGTAACCCACTAGCTAAATTGCCAATTGCTTGTACTGCTTCAACAGCGACAGCTATATTTACATCTGATACAAGCTGGGAAACCATTACAGCAACTTGCTTAGTAATCTCTAATACGTCATCAAGACAATGAAGCAACACCAGTAGAAAACATAATCGTGAATGAAAATGCGAGAAATATCCATAAAAGAGCGTGCACTTAACTATATCAAAAAGAAATTGCACAACGACCACAGGAAAGTGAAGAAAAGATCAAACGTAAACATGATAGCCCAAAGTATCAGACCTTGTTAGTGACATCTCGATATAAAAACGCCAACTGTATTCACATACCTTCTTCAATATCCGCGATACTTCTGAAAAATCACCGTTTGCTATTTTTTTAACAGAAGCCAGCTTTGTCAGCTCTGCCACTGCGTCTCGTCTTTCAGACCATTTTGTTGCTTTCTATACAAACAATAACCGATAAAAACAACTGTAAGTAAGGGGCAACATTCAGATGAGAGTAGACAGACAACACGTGGGCAACAAAGGCGAAGTGTATTACCCACAGTTCCAGCAAAACATAATCCACTACATACAGTAATCATAACTAACATTCTGCACAACAGGAGACCCTCTCACCTGACAGAAACTATTGACTGATTCAATAAGAGACTTACACAGAATAGAAACGAAGAAAATTAAGCAACAACTTATTTCAAAGAGTGAATCAACGTCACATTGTCCTCTCAACTGAGTACTCACCACTCCATCCCAGAAGGTTGACTTGCCCAATGGTGTCAGAATGTCCACAGGATCTACTAGGTCATACTCATCTATATCAGATGAACCTGGCATGTAAAACCCCTCACGCATATCAGTGATCATAGCATCATACAATAACACGTTGCGGATAATTGCACACAAAAGTACTACACAATCTGATACCTGGCACAGCAGCTTCATCGGCAGGCCCTGCAGTTGATACAGAGGCTACTACTGTTTCTTCACATTCTAATGCCTGCTCAGACCTGTGCAATAATAGCAAAAGGCAATTTGCAATGAGAAAGCGTAAAATTTGAGAAGCGGCATCAAGTAGGGCTCTAGACGACACTCCAGACCAATATTCATCAAATCAATTAATTCCAGTATATCAGCCATGTCAAATTTCAACATTAGAAATCTTGGGACACGTAATGTCAGCTCTAAATCGTGCTAACTATACAAAAAAGGTAAATTGATCCTCGTCAAAATGATATAAATGACATGTAAATCTGCAAACAATATTACAAACCCAGGATAAAGCACTACTTCACCTAATTTTTCGAATGGGCTTAGCTCCAGAAACGACATTATCAACTTCTACCTCCAGCTCCTTTTTCTGCCAAAGAGAAGAGCACGAAAAAGCTCTAAAATAGTTAATACTTTGTATTCTGAAGGTATTCGCAAGAAAGCAACACAAGCATACGCTCTTCTGAGGGTAGTGCATGCATTCTAATGAAATGAGGACAACCCACAAACATAGGCATCCGGTACTTACCATAGTATCTCGCATCTTATCGAAAAGAAGGTTTTTAACAGCATCTTTTCCGATCCACCGGCAAAGTTCAATAGTTAACCCTTTTGCACAGGCCCTCACGTTTGCGTCCGGATGATCGAAGAGGTCTGGGAGCATCTTTATTATTCGCTTTGCGGGGACCACTTTGGTACCAAATTGGCTAAAATTACACCAGGAAAAGGTCATCCAAGATCAAAGTAACAGAATTTTCAGGGAAATTAGATTAATTTAAATAAATAAATAAATAAATACATAACAAAAGAAAAAAGAAGAAGAAGGGGGGCTCTGAATGATAAACATACCTTACAGCCTGGTACATTACGTCAATCGCAGGAACTACCGCTTTCGCAAGCTTAGCTTTTACAGCTTTCTCCATAGCGTCCTGTGCCAAATTGGAACGTCAACAACCTTTCTCTGTTGATGTAGGTGCTGAGAATCCGAGAGCGTCAAATGGTATAACTCACGTGCAGGTTTGCTGAAAAGTCTACAAAATTCTAGAACATGAAGCTGAATACAAAACACGCTAACAAACTGTGCGACACCTAGAAGGCCGCGCACGCCTCTAAATCATGTGAACCCCAATGAAAAGTTGCGACATCGAAATCCACATCATCGCACGCCTTACCTTGCGGCGTCTGTATTATATCGTGCCAGTAGAACACCAGAGAATGCAAGAAATCCTACTAACTACTGAGAAAATCCAAGAACCATAAACTGGAAACAGAGCTACATGACGGTGGATAACCAAGGCAATAATCATAGATAACACCAAGAGCAACTCGAAGGACGGATCTAACCAGAAAAGCTTCCGATGCTTCAAGCTCGACCCAGAGAAGAAAAACCGCTTGAGACTTCTCTAGTGTCTTTGGTCGCCCTGTCATGCACTTGGCTACGATAGAATCACATATTTCTTTCGCATATCTGCAAGAAAAACAATCTTCTCTGAGCATATCAAACGTTATTTTCTGAAGGAGAAAGCAAGGAGTATTAGATAAGAAGACAAATCCAACCTGCATCAACCATTGTATTTGCTACATGGGAAGACAACATGCTACGTGCCATACACAGAGCAATGCTCTCTACCCAACCAACTAATTAATAAGATAGGCAACAGAGGGGAAAATCACACCGATTCGGCTTGCAGAATCACATGCGAGACAACACAAACTCATAACAGAGAACACGGTTCAGTTTCTAGTACAAACTTTAGGTCATTCTTCGTTCAGAGCTGAACAATAAGTCATCAACCGGTTTGAAAGTAGTGACCATTAGATTATCATCAAAAATAGAAGGTGTTCTTCCATCGCAACTCCAATGAAACCTGGGGGTAAGAGGGTAGGGAACCATGCCTAGCAGCATCCGTATCTGCTGCGCGTAAGTATGCTATAAGTGCATCCAAGGCCTTCTCTTGACAAGGAGCATTTGAGTCGGCCACTGCTTTCTTGAACAGAGGACCTGCGCCATTGACAACGGCATAAGTTCGTAAGCCGACCATCGAGAAGCCCTAAGTTTCTCAGCGACAGAGGACATGAAGTAGACGCTCGGCAATACATCTAGAATCTGAGCATTCGTGTCCCCTTCAACAATACATAGTGAAATTTTCACAATGGTACTTGACATAGTTCTCCAAAATGATCGTGAAACTCCAATACGTACGTTCTACAGAGACCAAAACTTCAATAATTTCGCATTTCAAGGGAAGTTCTTCCTTAATGGAAATTCAAAGTAAAAACCGGCGTTTACATTGAATTGTGTATAAAGTAAAGATAAAAAAATAAAAAAATACGTTTTAAAAAATAAGCAATCAAAGACCCACAGAATTAGTGCCAGTAGTGCAACAAACAATAAATTGAAGGGCTAGTACAACAGCTACTGCGTCGCAGCAAAAGAATGCCATTCCGTAATTTAAATTCCAAAAATGAAATCAAGAATAAAATCAAAATATTTTGAAACCTTAAAGGTTCATGTGCTATAGAAATATGTGACAGACGGTGCTCCCACCAGATTCCATGACACATTATCGTGAAATACAAACTAATTGCACTTCTACAAAGCTGTGGACCGTAACACTCTCTAAGTTTGCTAGTGCAAACAACTTAGTCTACGTGTACGGTCTAGTCAATTAGAATCTAAAACGCATTTGTCAGAAGCTGCAAAACAGTTAGGCAAGCTTGAAATCCAGTGTCTCAACTCTCAAATCACAATCCAATAAAATAGAAGTTCGTTAAGTACAAAACTTCTCATCATGCCGACCTCGCACTAATGAATTGTTACAGCTTCAGCCTGGTTTGAGAAATTCGATTCTCTTAGAATATGAATTTTAATCACCCTGGAGTATCAAGGTCTACTCAACAGTGCACCTGGTTGCTCAAATCCTTGCACTTTCTAATTTGACAGTTCTAAGGCATTATATACAAAGTTGCCTGCAACTTTGGCACTGCAAAAAACCACCACCTGAGTTGATCGCGCAAATGCATAACATACTACCACAAGCTAGAGAAAGCAAGAGACCGATCGTGAACAAAATCGCTCTCAGTTCGCCAATCCATTTCAAGCTAGAGGTCAGCTTGACGACATCTCTTCATCTTAATGCGCTGGAGGTGAGCCAAGCAGTCAAAAAAAAAACGGTTCTGACTTGTCTAAAGAAAACCTAAAAATTCAAAGATGAGGAGTGCAGCTCGTTCTGTTCGCAAGTAGCGACAGCTTGGACCATTGCTGAGAACCTATAGATGAAAGAAGATTCTCCAAATAGAACAGTATAGTTTTTAACGATATCTGACACTGAAGTTTATCGACTGAGGAAACCACAATCCGGGAGCCAAAACAGCATTCTCGCCCTCTACAATGAAAACCTGACAATGGCAAGTTCATATAGTAATAACCATCGCCACATTTTGTGCTTCAAATCCGAAATGCTAACCCTGGAACGATGTGAATCTTTCCTCGATCATTGAGGACAATTCATTAGACAGTAGAGAAGTTGCACAATCCATGGGACAGAAAAGACAAACCATTGCGCATTACCAATCGTGACAGCTTTTTCCACTCAATCCAAAGAATACGCCAGAAGCACCCATAGTTTTAACGGTACCAGCAGTATTCAAAAAATCCCAGCCAACATTTTGAAAGGCCAGAACAAATCCGGAGAATGCACAGTATGTTTCACTAACTCTGAATTCATATTCACTTGAACGGCTGGGGACTGACAGCAGCCTATCAAGAAGGTCTACATTATTCAAGTTTCAAATAATCAGTGATACAATGCAATAAACAACAACCACAACCAGCAACGGGGGGACAATGGCGACCCCATAGAACAACACATTACCAAATTCTCGAAGGCGGGGGTCTTTGGGATCCATGATGCCATCGCACACGGCAGCAACGTCGATATTGGCGTCATTCCTAACCTTCCAATTCTTATGCGCCAGTCTATCCTCCCAGGCCATCTTCTTGGCCTCCTTGAGGAGCTTCTCATCTTCCGACATTGTGGAAACGAACCCAGAAACTCTGCTGTTCCTTTACAAAAACAACAGTCGCAACACGCGCAAATTCACCTCTGCCACATCACCAACCACTCCCCGTTCCTCTCTCTTCCCAACCTCCCCCTTTCCACGCCAGATCCAACTCACCTCCACCTAAAACTATCCCAAAAACCAATCAAAAACCCTGCCCTCCTCGTTCTCTCTTTCAACTCCACAACCATCCGCTTCACCACTGCTCTTAGCAAACTACCACTCCCGCCCAAGCTCACCGCCTTTCACTCTGCCTAGCTCCACGGAAGACAAGATCCAGTTCTCCCTGTCCGCCCCGCCCCTGATCTTCACTAACACATCCCTCGCTCTCTCTCGCGTAAATATATATTATGAAAAAAAAAAAAAAAAAAAAAAAAAAAAATGTGCGCAACACCTCCACCAACAACGCGACGGCCAATGGAGAGACACGCTGCACGCTGCACGCTGCCTCCTCCGTCGTCGGGTGCCCGTCTCTCCCACTAGAGCGCGAGCGTAAGGGCGGACAACATTCAGCTTGACATGAGAACCAAACCAGGAAGACGACGTTTAGCTTTTGAAATGGAACGGGAGGAACGGGTGAATGGACAGCTTTGCAGGGAGGAGTCGGACAGACAGACAGACGTCGTCCCCTATCATTAGCCTCCCCACCCTTCGCTGCAAGGAAGACGAAAGCAACACGAATACTACGACGAAGAATAAGAAGCCGAAGAAGAAGCCTGGGCTGGGCTCACTCACTGCCCACGTTCCCGTCCCCGTCCCCGTTCCACCCCCACGCACGGGCATACTCATACCCGGCCTCCTCCTCCTCCTCTTCTGACTGCGTTAGGTTATGCGTTTGAATTATATATTTTTTCCTTTCGTCCATTCCTCCCAGAGGAGAGTGACCCACCCACCCACGCACTCACTCACCCGTTCGCCCTTCATATCCATCTGCCTCGCTCATGTTGGTGTTCCTTTTTCTTCATTTATTCATCCACACATGCATACATTCATCCATCCGGGGAAGGGGGGGATATCTATTTCATTCGTGCCTTTTTATTCAATCCCACTGGCACAATGTGGCTTCCTTTCATTGAACCCTTTTTCATGCTCTTAACTGGTTTACCATCTTTGTTTTCCATACACATCCCAATTTTCTTCCTCCTTGTATTGTTCCAAACTAAACCCTGTCTGTATCAAAATTGCCAACTACAACCTTCTTATGATTTTTCATGCATGACCTTTATCACTAAAATAAAATAAGAATTAATAAGTGTATATGTCATACAAAATTTAAAATAGCATGTAGATGGTAATAATATTTTAATGGAAAAATATCATATAAATCCCTCAAATATGTTGAAATATCAAAAATATCCATGTATTCTTGATAGTAGCAAAAACATATCCTTGAGATTTTTAAAAATAGAAAATCTATCCTTGTTGGTAATAAGGTATCATCAACATTATTTATTTAATTGTCATCTAGGGCTCAAACCATTGTCATGTGGTAACACAACTATATGGTGAAAAATAAAAATATGAATGTTATTATAGAAGAGCCTAATAGAAAGATGTAATAGAAAAATAAAGACAAATGGTAGGAAGGTAGTAAAAAATTTAGTTTTAACGTTGTTTTTTGTAGAAGAAACTTCTATTTACTTTGTAGAGGTATAAATATTTCAATGAAAAGTAAATGAGATAAGTAAATAATATAAAGGTCTTTAGGAGAGAGTTAACGATAGTTTTAAGGAAAAATTACCTCAAATTACCAAAAAATTGATATTCAAAGAGAACCAATTGTGAACTTGGATCAAAATCAGACCCCAAGGCATAAAACCATGCACCTATAGTGACTCTGGCATTCTTTTGTCAATCCAAGAGCGAAGTATGAAAGCAAACTTGAAAAGAGATTTTTAAGAGTTGATTTCATGTCATTTGAATATGTATTGAGGTTTTGAAGGTTTTTCAAAGTTAGAGATGTACTTAGTGGCTTATTTAGGGGTGAAATTTTGTTAAGTTGTCATTATACTTGTTATGAATGTGTGTGAGAAATTTTATATCAATTGAGCAATTAGATTGAAGGTTATCAAAGTTTTTATTGGTTATGATCTTAGATAATTGAAATTTAGGACTAGTGGGGATTTTTATAATTTAGAAAAATCTACTAGTTTGATTAAAGCAAAATTTGGTGAAAGAAATCTAAACTTAAATACCTACATACAACCTAATTTTAGGAGCAATTTAATAGTTCAGCAAAGAGAAATATTTTTTGAAAGATCAACATTCAAGTTGGAGAAGGTGAGCAACTAACATCCAAGAGGTTTTGAGAGCTTTTCTTACAATTGGTGAATTTGATTCTTTTCAAATTTTTTGTGCCTATTACTTGCTTGTTGATTGAAATTTAAGTGAAACTTTAATCAAAATCAATGGTTTAATTAATATTTGTTAAGATTTTAAATAACTATAGTATTTGATTAAGATTTACTTGGGATTATTTTGGAGTTTTTTAAGACTTGGTTTATGATTTTATGAAAATTAGTCTAGAATTTGGTTAAGATTTGATTAAAGTTGATCTAAGGTTTAGGGTTTGACCTAAGATTTGATTAAGGTTTATTGGGATTTCAATTAGAATTTAATTAAGATTTGACATAGGACTTGGTTATAATTTATTAAGATTTTAATTAAGATTTAATTAAGATTTGATTATGATTTATTTACAATTAAATTAAAATTCATATTTTATTATTTTAAAATTTTAATATTTATATTATTTCTTTAAGATTATTTGTATTTTTTTATGATTTACTTTTTATATTTCTTTATTATTTCTTATTATTATTTTTTAAAATTAATATACTACTTTGTTGTATTTCTTTTAGAACTTATTTTAAATTTCTTTTGGATTGGTTAAATTTAATTAGGATTTTTGAGGATTACTTGAAGTTTATTCAAAACTCTATTAGATTTGGCAGGATTTTGTTGTTGCATTTTTACTTACCTTCTACAGCTAAATGTCTAGTGCATTTTTAAGTAAGAATATATGTAATACAACATTGTGAGCTACATATTTATGGATGATTCATCCTCCTTGTATACCATCACCTTATCAATTTTTTATCCCTACATAAGTAATATTTGTACCTTGAGGCACAAAGGCTTATTGATAAGTAGATAATAGTTGTAGCATTCAATTTGAAAGATGCAAGCACATGGATAAGAAAAACATTGCCATAGCCAAGTGCCACCAAGAATCTATAATGCAAAAAATGGTTTGTGATCAATAGAAGGAAGATTTTTTTAATTCTTGAAAAATCAAAAAGGAGTACAACAAAATTTGTACAACTTACAGTCTAGGCCTTAGATGACAACTAAACAAGAAATGTTGGTGATACTTTATCACAAATAAAAATACATTTGCTATTATTAAGGACATTCTTGATATTTCAATATATTTGATATATATATATATATATATATATATATATATGATATTTTTCTTATTTAATCATATCCAACTTTCTAAATAATTATTTTATATATCAACATATAATTTATTTAGGAATGTTATATTGATGACTTCACACATTTTTCTTTCAAATGTTTATATGAAACATAATAATTTAAAATTTCATTGTCTAATATCATTACAATATTTTAATTAAATATAATTTCAAATAAAATATATGAACAATCTTTAATAAGTCACTCTTCTACACATTAGTCTTAAAACTTTTTTAAAGATGTTATTACTAAAATTTTTATACGAAAAATAGTAATAAATATAGGATGAAAGATATAAAAGTGTCAATTGATTAGTTTAGAAAATAGAACAAAATATTAGCACAAAAAAAAATATATATATATATATATATACATAAATTTAAATTTATTTGCATTGTAATAATATTCTTATTTTACAACTTGGTATAGAAATTTTATAACCATATAAATTAACTAAATTTGAATACAAAAATGCAAACAACAAACAAACAAATAAAATAAAAATATCATATTTTAGTATTTCTTACATATCACAAATTTCATTGATATAATGTAAGTTTAAATGTATAGTCTAATCAATAACTTAAACTGTTAATTTTCATACAATATATTGTAAGATTTTATATTTTTAAACACAATTAAGAAACATTTCAAAGTTTAAATGATCAGTTTTACTTGTGTTAAAGCTTTTGAAATTAAAAACTTTAAATCCTAAATCCATTCATGTGTAAGGTTGTTTTAAGACCTAAGAAAATGACACCATGAATGATTACACAGCCTCACACAATTTTAAAAGTCTAATTGTGTCTGTTGCAAATCTTGTAGATTTTCTATAAAACTTGTCTTACTACTTTAGATAAATATAACATACACAAACAAATGCAACTATCTTCTCATTGTCCAGATAATATATTATCAATTTTTTTAATACAATTAAAATTAAGTAAATTTTTTTTTTAGTTTTTAAATCAGAATTATGAATAGTCATTTTAATTTATTAGAGGCTGAATTTTGTTTTTAAATGTGCTTTCATTATAAAATAAGTTTCAAAAAAATCTTCAAAAATTGAGGTTTAATCAAATATAATATATAAGGACAATAAGTAATTCTCTAGTACCAATTAAATTTTATTTTTAAAATTTTGTTTAGAACATATTAACTTTTAAAACTAATCATGTAAGTACTAATTGACACAAGAAATATGTAAATAAAAAAACATATTATAATTCTAAGACACTGTAGTTAAATGATTTTTTATTATTATGAAGAATTTAAAATAATTGCATAATATTTTTTTAGACATAATTTAATTGATTTTTTACTTAAATAAATAAATAAATATTTAATTATGAATATATATATATATATATATTAAAATAATTATTTCTTTAGAAGTATTCATTTTAATTTTTAATAATTTATATAGCCAATAATATATTCATATCAAAAAATAAGAATATTTTTATCAAAAAATATGAGATATGTATTCCTATAAGATAGAAGTATAATGATGTAAAACACATATGAGTTCATTATCCAACCATTAAGGATTCCAAAGAACTAATTTCTTAAAATGAGCTTTGAATTTTAGTCCTTATAATACAAGTCTATGGTCTTTTGATATGGACATTTTAGTCCAAATATACTCATAATTAGCTTAGCTACCAAGATCCAATTGATATGTGGATACTCATCTTGTTATGTCATATGACAACTTAGTAGGTATCACAGACATACATACTTATTCTAATATTTATCTATATAATTAAGTAAAAGTAGGTAAAAGTAATTTTATTTCATAATATTTTCTAAAGAAGTTTCATAAAAGTTTGATTGATGCTACTTTGATTTTACATGTATTTGTAATTTATTGGTAGGTTAGAAACTTAATCAACAAGTTAATCATGTATTAATAGCTTAGGGAACAAGCTAACTATGTGGTGCATATATAGAAAACTTGCCTTGTAAGTTAAGATACATGTCTTGCAAAGTCAACACGGTTTAGAAGTCCTATAGGACATTGCCACATAGCTCCTAGTTAAGCATATATATAGAAGCAAGAGTGAAGTCTTCTTCATTCTTGTCAATGCCTTTCTAGTCCTTAGTCTTGTTTCAAGTCTTTTTAAATCTTCTTATCTTTGGCAATAGCCATTCTAGTTTAATACTTTATCATCTTTGAATGATTTTCTAATATTTTTGAGTCACATAAGAGTATATTGAAATTTTAGTTCTTTAAGGTTCATG